CTATGACTTGAGGGGTCACATGAGCCAGAAACTGGGACTTTGTAGGCCAGTTGAATGAAATGAGGACTCACCTTGCCCGCAAAGACCCAGCCTCTGACACACTATCATCAGTCCCGTCGCCGGGGACTGCACGAGGAGGAAACTCCAGAGGTTTACATACTGAAATATCTCTCGACTGCGCGATTTCACTTTCAGAGCAAATAAGAGAAGATTTAATCTGCGCCTGTTCATACATACCCTCTAATCTGCTGCCTGTCGGTGTTCGAAGAAGTAGGCGACACCGTCGGATTGTAGTTACCTGTGTACCGGGCAGGTGTTCGCATCCCGTAGCCCATATGGAGACCTCTTCACGTAATACGCGCCGACTGTCTGGTGGGTTTGTCTGGCTGCCTGGAGGAGATCGCGTCTGCATGCGAAGTTGAACTTCACCGTCCATCCACCACCAGCACCACCGCCGCCCAAGTAATATGTGATCACTTGGTGTTGCACGCATCCCAAATTGAGCAAGATTATCCTTTTGGGGGGGTGGGGGCCGGGAACTGTCTTATGGAATAAGTCGGACAGTCCCCCTGGTCCATCTTTTTTCCTGTCTGTCCAAAGAGAAAAAACATGCAGACGCAACAGTGTCGAGCCTTGTGCCAGTCTCCCACCTCCCGCCCTCCCTCCCTTCCTTCAAGAAAAAAAAGAGAGAGAGAAGGAGAGAGAGCTTTTGCGTTTCCCAACGAGAGATCCCCCCGTGCGCACCCAGCCACTCACCCAATATCCATTCTGGAAGGGGGGCGGGAGAAAAAGGCACCCTGCTTGCGCCGCCGCTGCTGCCGCCGTGCTGCAGCTTTTCTAGAGCAGGATATTCCCAAACAGCTGGAAAGAGCTGATATATGGTGCTGCGCCCTCGTGTTGGGCCCTCCCCAAAATGGACCGGTACTAAGTGCTAACCTGGTTATTTTCAGCGCGTCACTGGCTCGTTTCCAATTATAGGTTTCCGACAGCGGCACAGCAAAGTGACCCCGTAGTCTCTACTACACTGCCCGAGGACTTGAGAACGATCGAGCACCACATACAAATACCCGAGCATGTGCGTTTGCTTCTGAACTGCACACATTCCTGCGGTGCGTTGGCTTGCCCGTCCACATGCGCCACAGAGGCCCCCGCGCTCAGCTGCGGTGTCCGGCGGCTCCGCGGCGGCTCGTCTGCGCCTCTCTCAAGGTGTTCCCCTTTTACCGATGCTGTGCGGGAGGCTATATACATCCCAGGTTCATCACACCTCTCCCGTTACCTCCCCGACCGGCAACGCGTTAGTGTGCCGCGACACCTGCTGGCTGCAGCGCGACGTGACACTTCAGTTCTGTGCATGTTTCAAATGTAACCTGTATTGTTTCACGCAGGTCACCGATCACGTGTCGCTCCACAGCAGGTGGTAATTACAGCGTGACAGCTGGATTCAGTCCGTGGCTCCGTTAAGTATTTTCAGTGAAATTATGACGGGTGTGTGTTTAGTTATAGTGCTCTGTGGGCCATTATTCCAGCCTCTCTGACTTCATTTACTCACTCTGGTCAAATATCTGTTGGTATTCACTTCAGTTCATCTCATGTTCTTTGCGTCATTTGCTTCTGTTTGTTCTTTCGTGTTCAACTCTTTTGCAGTTAGTTATATTCGTTTATTACGTTATATTATTATTATATTGTTTGATTATTCTCATAGCAACATTTCATTCTCCTTTGATCTTTTACATTTTGTTCTACATTACTTACACATAATAGTCTATATTACATATCACATCTATTTGACGTGTGATAGACCTATTATATTCTATATCTCTGACATCTATTATATTTTCAATAAATTGTATATAAATATTGTATTTTCTATTACATTCAAGTTTTTTGCATAATGTGAAGGAGTACTGTCTTCATTTTGTTTTGATGACAGTAAAGAATACTGAATCTAGTTTCTGAGGTTCAGAGGTTAAGGTTTGGTATTATCATCTGTACCTGATCAGAATACATGAACACCAAAGCATTAAATTATAATCCAGTGCTAAAATGTTTAATTTTAGTTGAAATATGGTTTCATTAGTGCCATGGATTGCATGAGAAGAGGACAGGACGTGAGGAAAAGGGTTAATAAGATGTTGGAGCAGCTCGGTGAGGGTCAGGAGGTCACTGGACAACCAGCTCTCCATCACAGACAAACTACCTCCCCCTCTCCTCCTCCAATACGGACGTAGCGGGACACACTTCTCCCTCAAACTTCTTCAATCCCACTACCATAATGAATGTTCTAGGAAGTCATTCCTACCCTTCCCTTTTAAACTTTACAGCAGCTCTCCTTTTTGTGGTGACAGATGATCACACCTGTCCACACACACATACCTCTATATCAAACCTCCTTCCTGTTGTTTGTCAGACTTATAGTGTAATGCCATTTGCACTGCTCTTTGCTGGAATTGTCTCTTGCGCATTTTCAGTGTTATTTTTTTTATTTAATCCCACTTATACTGAAAATCCTATTCTCTCAATGTTGCATAAAAACTGCACTCCCTTGCATCATAAGGCCTTCGACGTGTGCCTGTGGTACTTTCAATAATAGTGGTTTTATTGTTGATTTCACTGTTATCATTATTATTATTTATGGTGCTGCTGCTGCTGTAACACACCGAATTTCCTTGTGGAAGTATCTGTCTGTCTATCCGTTACTACAGATGGCTCCAGATTTTTGGTGAGATGTGTATTAGAGGAAACGGTAATTAAAGGGCAGGAAGTGGGATCAAACAGGCTGCAGCCCAGATAGAGGACTTCCCTTTAAGTACAGCTGCAGCTGTTCTCATGCTGGCTTTGTACATCTGATTTGTCCTTTTTGCCCCTGTGTCGTGTTTAATGATGAGTTTGAATCTTGTGTGAAAGTTTTCAATGTTTGTGCGTGATTGTTCTCTCTATTCTGATCATTTATTCAGTTCTGTTGAGTTCAACTCGGTCCTGAGCTCATGCTCCACTTTTAGTCTTGCTGCTGACGCTCCTGTGTGACGCCCTCACAAGGCATCAGTCAGCTGCTTCACCTCACATCAAAAGCCCATAGTAATAACACCGGAAATTGGAGGATTTCTTATCAAAATAAACGTATGACCTGACGTTCGGTACTAAAGAAGCTATTATTAATAAGAAAATCAATGATAACTTTAACCCGGAATATTCAGGTGTTAGAGCCTTTCTCCAATAAATAGATCTGTTGCCGTGGCCTCATTCCCTCATTGAGTTATGCTATTATCGATTTAAATAGATAACTATTTAATTTTAAAGGTTCGGTCCGGAAGCGATGCCTCCGATCGAGGTGGACTTCTCGCCAACCAGAAATGACCGATTTGGTTCCTGACAAGAACACGCAGGTTTGCCACATAAACAAGATAATTCATTACTCCAGAAACAGCAGGACGGATGTTCATCATCGGCCTCATCATCGCTGTAGCATCTGACACTTGTCGGTGAGTTTTGGCTCCGTTTCGGAAACGTCTTCGTCGCGTTAGTGTTACAGCCTGAGCGGTTTGTGCGCAACACAACAACACGTCCCCCCTCAAGCTGTAGATTAGGCGTGAGGTTTGCGAGGTTACTGGTCCCACAAGGCCAAACGCTGTCATGCTCGTAATGCCAAGAACCCCGTGGGTGCGTGACGTCATCGCGCGTTGGAGTAAGGTTCGCGTTGTTTTCAGTAAAAAATGCGAAAAAGATACGAAAGTTTAAAAAGAAATATATCAGTAGTTGATCGTTTTCGTGTCAAGAGTTAAAAATTGTGTTAGTTTCATCCGTTAAAAAGTCGTTATTTGGTTATTTCATTAGCAAAATAAAAAATATATAATTTAAAGTCATCGCTTTTGTTTCAGTGAAATAAAAATCACGCAGTAAATGTTTAATTTTTAGCTGTGCGTTGGTAGAGTAAATTATGAAAGTGTGTACTTGAGCACAGGGGGTATTTATCTATCAGCATAAAACATGTTGCTGGCTCCGACTTAATCCTTAAATTTTGGAGTTTTGTTTTTATTTTATTTTATTTTATTTATTTATTTTTTCCAATTTCATTTTAGACTTCATGTTGGGCATATCCTCCCGAGAAACCGAGGAAAAGGGAATATTCCCATTGAACTTTTTTTTTGTGTGATTTTCTTCCTTTTTGGAGGTAATAGAGGCAACCCAAACACATGCGATATCAGTGGAAAGCAAGGATGTCCAGGAGGTAGTAAGATATCTCAAATAAATCAAAAGATAGAGACCAAGACGAAATGTCCATTACAGAGGACATAAATGAATTGGCTGGTTCTCAGGAGAATATATTAAAGTTCTCTGTTGGATACAATAGAATGCAATAATATCGAAAAACAAATTATCATTAATATTATACAATTATGTTTATTCTGAAGTTAAAAAGCAAATTGTCTTTATCATTATTAAATTAATAAAAAAATACAGTAATTGCATGATAATTATTAACGTACCTCAATCGCTTAAACAGAAGAGTTTCACTTGCAGACAGCTATCCATCCATCCATTTTCCTTGTCTTATCCAAGTGGATGTGCATGTCTTCCCACTCCTTTTCAGATACACAAACTAAATCTGAAGGTGCTCTAAATAAATTAAAACAAAATTCAGGGTCTTGGTGTGGCTGGAGCTCACTCCACAGGTAGGGTGGACAGGTAACCTGTGTGTTGCAGGCTAAAACATAGACTAGCATTTACACCTTTCTTTCACCTTTATGTCTGTGGACTGTGGGAGGAAGTCCAAGTAGCCAGGAAGATCCCACACAGGCACAGGGAGAAAATGCAAACTCCACACAGAAACCCTCAGATTTTTCAGTAGTTTGGTTTATTTAAAACCTGATTTGTATGATATTTTCTGTTCGTGGCTGTAGAGCTTTAATTGTATTTGCCGTTTCACAGGCAGTCATTATGCCCACACATCGCCATCTCCTCGCTGCACCATGTGTCACCCTCTTCTCTTGCTCTCTCTTTAGTGCAGCAGGGGCCAATAAGCAGCGGATGCGGTGGGCGTCCAGCTGCAGGCGGCCCTCTCAATGGTTTCTCCCACCATGAAGGCGCTGGTGGATGCCGTATGGGCGGTGTGGAGCATCGGGGTCTCCATCTATGACTACATCCACACCAGTGCGATGGAGGAGCGCATCCACGCCTTGGAGAACGTCATCACCATCCACCAGTTTGTGATTGGGCTGTTGTCTGCTGGCGTGTTGGTACTCTTCACCTACATCTTCTTTAAAAAGCTCTGAAGATGTGTGATGTGGAGGGCTGGGGTTGGCATGTGGGAGGTGATGTAACCAGAATTTTGGGTACATTAGAAATGCTCACAGGAGTCGTGGTTCTCGGTTTGGTGTTCATGGAAGGTACGTTAGTATAGTTTCAGGTTTTTCTTTGTGTTTTTTGGAGGGGGAACACATACAACCATATACTGTATTTATTCCTAAAATAAGAAAGGTGGTAGAAATGTGGAAAACACTAAAGACCATCAAGATATTAAGTTCATTTTTAACTGTTTTAAAATGTGGTCCAACTTTTTTCCCTAAACATGTTTGGAGCTTAAAACGCACTCAAGTACACGCCTTCTAATAAGCGTCCAACTATTTTTAAAAGGCTACAATAGATTGAAGTTGAAATTCATCTGCTGATATTCATAAAATGATAACTTTTTTTTTTCTTTTAATAGCTAAAATACTGAAATTGTAACAGTTTCCACAAATTTAAGGGTTATAAATCCTTAAAGACCATCATGAGCTGATATGGCTCCCCTTGCACTCTATTGCAGATTTTGCAGACTGAAGCTGCAGAGTAAAATGTACCCCTCCCTGCATTAATGTTTCTCAGGTTAGCTTCCCCCCACCTCCACCCCACCCAAATTTTAGAAACAGGAAACCCAAGTAGCTCAACTCCACTTACAGAGAAATTTGCAGTTCTGCTTGTTTTTGTAGTGGGGTCATTAAACATACCACTTTCTGCCTTAATTAATATTTTCATTCAATGAAAATTCAGTTCAGGACAGAGATGATGTAGTTTTGTCTCAAAGATCTTCTACAGAGGACTGTCATTAATTTATCTCAAGCTCCCCCCAAAACTGCCACATGGACCTCATGTTAACAACCTGCAGGGCGTTAAGAGTAAACACCCTCACACTCTCTGTCTTTATCATTTTCAGTTAAACATGCTTTTGTCTAGTGATACAATTTGATACTGTAGGTCTACATGTGTATTTTCTACTAGATTTTAATGTGTAACATGATCTATTTATAAGCTTTTTCCATTAATATTGTTATACCTCATAACTTTCCTACATTGCTGTATAAACTGTAACAATTTAAAGTGTCCTTACACACTGTAAATATATTTTGATGTTGGCAGGTGTGGGTTTTTGCCCTTTTAGTTGGCCTTGAACTCATCATACATGTGCTATTCCCTCACACAGTACTGCTGCTGCTGCTGCGTATTTATGGTTTGACCTTTAAAGGCAACAATTTCTACCATAAAAGGTGAGAATTAAGTGATACTTGATACTGACAGCAAACAATGTGCGATGTAAAGTATGCTTCAGAGGATAAAATGTTTTTATCAAAATAATCGCTCCAATCTATAAGTGTTGGAACAGTGAGAGCTACTGTTACATGACTGCTTTGTTAAAAAAAAAAGGGGTTGTGTAATTTTACTGTGTCAGACAGACCATAACCCGAGAAAACACCCAAGAATGAAAGACTGTTTTAATATCATCTTCATAACAGTATTAAAATGTATCTTCTCAAAACGACAAACGTGTATTTACTGACTCTGGGCGTCATTAATGTGCGGTTAACAAACGCAGCACAGACCTTAAAACAAAAACGAACACCTGTTGTAAATTACCGCCACAATCGATAAGAAAAAACAAGTCTGTGAAAATGAGAATTGTTCTTGTAACATGGCTGGAACCTTTAAAGAGGAACGAGCAGGTTTATTTTGAATGAACCGCAAACAACAGAAACTGCAATGCTGGGAACAAAAGAAATTCAGCATGGCACCAGTCTTCAATTAGACTGGGAGGAAGAATCACTCACAAACGTGTGCTTGTTCATCAGCTGACAAACCTCCACAAGGTATTTGTTGTCTGAACTCACAGCCTTGTTTTTCTGCTACTTATAAGTGTCCGGTCTGAAGGAGTGCATGTTTGGAAATGAATCTTTCTACACTCTCTCCTTCCAGAAACTTCATGGCTCTCCAGTGGATCTTTCCACAGTTCTCTGGCTGGCCGAGGGGTCCGAGTTCCTCACGGATGTACTGCAGCCACAGATCTTTAGAAAAACGAAACAGGAAACAGTTATGTTAAAAAAAAAACTAAAGGTTCTTAATCTAATTGTATCTATCCATACTTTTACACTACAAGGACAGAAGTATTGAGCCACATCTCTATAGAGCTTATAGCATTACAAGTGTGGTACTGTAACATGCCACTCACTGTCTTCCTCCCTTCACCCCAACCAGTAACAGCAGATGGTCAACCCTCCCTGAGCCTGGCTCTGCCAGCGGTTTCTTCCTGTCACAAGGGAGTTTTTCCTCCCCACTGTTGCCAAGTGCTTGCTCAAAGGGGATCATTTGATTGTTGTTGTTTTCTACCATAATACTATTTATTTTTTCCTTTAATATAAAGCGCGTTGAGCAATTGTTGTTGTGTTGGGGCACATAATGCACCGAGACCTTCATGCCATACGTTTCCATGGCTGAGCAGCTCCTGTAGGTGTAATATGGACGTGGCCCGGTACTTTCCATCTCGTCTAACTTTGTTCTTTAGCAATACAGATTCTCTTGAATGTGTTTTACTCTTGTCCTCTGACTCAGTCTGATCAAATAACTAACTGTTGATTAGCTGCTCAGTCCAAACCTGTATTTGATTTGTGCTCACATAACATACAAAGACACATCCTCTCGTTTTGGCGATCTCTTTTTTAATCTCTTCCTCCAATTTGTAAATACTGTCCCTGCTGTTCAACCCCTCTTTTGGAATTGATATTTTTTACATTGTCATTTATGCTTCGAAATATATAATCATTTGTATGCTGATAAAAATTATATCCTTATTAGGTCTGATAAGATTCTGTGTGCACGTCTGTACCATGAGTTGAGAGGAAGCAGCCTCGACGTTATCATCTCCATTATAGCTTTAGAACCCAGAATTGTTCTGTTTCTTATAAGTGCAAGACTTCACACCTTTAAATGTTCGTCTGAGACATGACCTCTTGCAAGTTCCTGTTCTTATCATTTAGCGAGATGCTTACTTCTGCTTTTCTGCATACCTCATACACACAGTTTAAGTTCATTGAAAGGTCGTATGTCTATGTATGGTACAGCTGTAAACACACACATGCATCTACACACACACCCACACACACAGAATATAGACACTGATGTTGTTCAGATATGCCTGCTTAAGAATGTCACATGTATTTGTAATTGCATATTCACGAATGATTGCTTGCTGACAATAAAAAGGGCTGTAGCGAAGGAATCAGTTGAAGTTGGCTAAGGACAGGTGAAGGCCTGGGCTGACTTCCCTCGCGAGCCACATAGACAAAGAGCTCTGTCTTGCCTTGTTTTGTCGTGCAGTTATTGCGTGTCTCATGTTCCAGTGGGGTTTGTGCCTAGATAAACCCAACCCCCTCCACCACCCCAGCATCCACCTGTGCCTTCTGGGAGTCGGGGGGATACTTACTCATCACTCCCCAACTTCTGTATGTATTAATGGGGAGCAATGAGCTCACAAACTTTAATATTCTTCTTAAAACTTGAGCTTGCTGGCTGAGCTGAAAGCATAAATAACACCAGCTTTCCGGTTCATTCCAGCTCCTTAAACTGATTTAAATTCACCTTCATTGGAGGTGCCGAACTCCTGCAGCACCCTCTCATAGTAGTCCCTCAGATTGTTCATCTTTGGATTTTCCTGAAAAAACAACATTGTAATCACATTAATTGTTTTCACTTATCAGCAACATCAAAGGTATCTTTCCAGTGTCAAACTATCAATGAAGTCAGTACAACATAAACATTATAGTTGGTGGCAGGCAGGTTAAACAGCAGAAGAATGAAGATGTCACTGGGCTTCATATACGTACTTGTTCCTTCTCGATTTGAATCATTCTGGTGAAAAAGTCCTTGGACAATGGGCGGTTTTCCTGTAAGCTACATAAGAAAAATGCAATTTAATTAAAAGGTATTAAAGATCCTGAACGTTTATTTTGCACCTGCAGGTCAGTACTTTGAGACCCGTTAAACTTATATGTTCCTGCTGCATTCATCACCTAAATTAAAAACTACATGAGCAGACAGAGTTATCTGATTTTCACCTTGTAAAGGTCTTCCTCGCCTTCTTATAGCCTCCAGTGGAGTAGGACCAATCGAGGTAGCACTCTTTCATCTCCATGGCAACAGCCGGGACTGCAGACAGCAGACCTCTCTGGGAACAAGCAAGAGAACAAACTGTCTGCAAGGCACATCCTCATTTCAGAGGCAAAAACACTATTAATCTTGCCTGCTTTAGCTTTTATTGTTTACTCTTTATCTCATCTCTACCTTACTCAGCCTTTTCTGATCACAGTCTGTCTGCTGTACTTTATATTACAGTGCAGGATCATATTTTATCCTGTCATTAACTTCTTATGTTGCGCATTTCATTTCTAACAATTCAAAACTGTGTTTGCAGTGTAACTCTTATCGATAAAATATCGGTGTAAACAAACCCACAAAAAATGAAGCGGATAAATGGCTCTAAATGCTGCAGGCTATAGCAAGATCACACTGCAGCTGTTCAAACGGCTGGATTCAGGTGAACTACCTTGAGGATGGCTTCTGTCTCCTCGGCACTCTGGCTGGCCTTGCTCCACTCAAACTGCAGCTGCCACAGTGGTAGACTCTCCTGTCAAGACAAAACACGGTTACATGAATGAGCTTCACCCACCTTAAAAAATGTGAATGTACCTTACATTAATATTACACCTGTTCATTAATAAGCAACCATTAGGCGCACACATTTTGTTCAGACACAAAGCTTGCACAACTTTCACGACTTAACACTGATGAATAACAACAACGTAAAACACGTGTCTGTCAATAAAAGAACTTCTGGATTATCGTGTGTTTGTATTAGAGGTGCCTCACTGTTAAAACACTTAAGAAGTGTTGACAGTCCAACCTGAGATATCTGTCATCAGACTGAGTGTTTCTATTATGTCAATTTTAAACTGGCACATCATTGCTAGCTTGTGAGAAACACAGCTACCAATTGGGTGGTCAGTTCTGATATTTTCTAGTAAGTGGGATTAGTATCATTTAAAGTAAATATAGCAAGTGAGGGACACTATGCATCATCCAAAAGCTCGGTATGACACTACAGCTGATATTCACATTTGAGAAGCAGCAGGAACCAGAAAGTATTTGGCCTTCTCAGTCTCCAGCGAACGTGTCAGAGCATGCAAAGCTCAGATCAGAATTAGTTACCGGGTTTTGCCATTATATGCAGAGATTTTAAAAATTAATAATCACTCAGGCAGCATCTGTTCTCAGCCAGGAGGGAAGGATCAATATACCTTTTGGAATCGGCATGAGTACAGAATGACAGGATAAAGAGCGTGCTTACATTTTCATCATTGATTTATCTGCACTTCTGTGCTTTTCAATGTGGAAACTTAACATTGTTGGATACACAGGCCTCCAACCCTGGAGGTGTGTGCCATTTCTCCACGCTCAAACAGGGTGTTTTGTTCAAAAGAAAAGACTTGCATAATAAGCAGCTGTACTAATCCTCCTTCTCAGGGCCGTGGACTTATGAAACCCCCACCACAACAATAATCAGCTATTCTATTCATTGCTACAAAGGCCTGCGGGCTCAGTCGAGGCATGCGTATTCATAGTTGTACAAAACTGTGCAACTATGAGGGAGGTTCAACAGAAAAATTAAGAAGAACGTTCTGACTACTCTGAAATATAGGAGAGATTGTAAGATAAGGTTTAATTCACCACTGACCAGAAGAGTACGTAAGAAATTCTAAACGCTAATTTATAAGGTCAAACTGAGCCGAGATGGAAATCGGGCTTCAAATTATTAATGGTCAGACTCAGGCTGCTGCGTGGCCTCCCTAAATATTCTCCCTTTTTTTCCTGAACTGATTAACTGATATTAATTTCTATCTGCTCTCTTCTGTAGTTGGCACCTTCTTCTCTGTCCCCTCTTTCCTTGTACCCGTCTGCATGTGTTTCTAATTCTGGAGCTGCTGTTCCTGGTCCGTATTTATTGGCCC